CGAGGAATCTGGTGGACCGTGTAAACCTCCCCGGGGCCAAGCCGAACAATCTTCCCCCCGCAGGGTGATTAAGCAGCGGACGGGCCTCCTCCATCCGTTCAGCAGCTGAGCTGCCAGCGCCTGCTTGCTCCCTGCAGCCATTTGCGGTGTCGAAGGTGGTTTTCAGCACCAGCCATTGTTCCGCTCTTTCCTCCCGTTGCCTGCAGCTCTGCTGATTCAGCAGTGCTGCGCAGTGACCTGACCTCTTCACCCACCCACCCACCCCCGCAAGGCCCCTGCCACGACTTCTTCCGATTGCTTTCCTGGCGGGGGTTGGTTGCATGCTGCCCTCTGGTGGTCTCCATGCCCACCTTCCCCTCTGGATTTCTCAAGTGGTTGCTTGGTGCAAGGGATGATCCTGCCTGGGGACGAGGAAGTAGCCGTTCAGCGGAAAACCAATGCGGAGCGAAATTCAGGAGCCCAAAGAATGCAGGATGTGTCGATGGGATCCGAAACGTCTCCGAGAGAAACACGACGGGGTCCTTGACAAAAGCTGCAAAGCAAAGCTTATGTCTTCTTCTTCCCCAGAGTGAATCACGCGCCCCGGTATGTGAAGGCAGCCTCCTAGACCAGAAGACGAACACCAGCACGTATGGAGACATAGTTGGCCAAGCCTGGAAGGACACTTTGGGGAGACATTAGTAGAGAGACGGTTGTTGATATGTGGAGCAGAGGAGAGCTTGGCACCGCCCGTCCTGGTTCTCTTCCACATAACTTGGGCCAAACATCAAGGAAGCCTTTGGCGTCAAGCGCAGGGCTGGCTGGCACGTGCCTGTCCTCAGAGCACTATGTCCTCCAGTGTACCGAGAGAGAGGAGTTCGAGTCCTGGAAGAGCTAGAAAGGCCTAGAGCCCCCTGGAGTGGCCCTAGGAGAGGAGGAGGCCTTGGGCCTCTGTGGCAAGGGCTTTGCCGGCCGAAGGGCTTGCTGTGCAGAGACCCCCTTCTGCCTCCGGCTCCAAGCCCACGGATGGGCTTGGAAGGGAAACGGAGAGGCAGACAAAACCTCTTTGATGCCAAAAGCCTGGGAAAAAAATTACCTCTGGTCTGCTTTTTTCAAAGACTTTCCTAAAGCCTTTGTTTTTGCTGTAATCCCATCTTCTGGTTGGCCCTGGACTTTCTAGGTCCTCCCCCCCCCCTTTCTCCCCTCGGCCAGGAGGGTGGAAGTCAGAGGGGGCCCATGGGACCGTATTATAGGCTGCTTCTAGCAGAAGGTGATCACACACTGTGCGGATTTTACTCCTCCCAGGAGGAGCGTTTTGTACGGCTGCCTTCCTGATTGTTCCACCAAAACCTCTGGCAAAACCCTCTCCAGGCTGGGTCCCCTTTGAGCGGGGGAGGAGGAGGGCAAATCTCTTTTCCAGCAAAGGATGTGCAGTTTCTCCTGCACCCGCACGCTAGGCCAGAGTGTGGGTGCAGTTTGGGCTGCCAGGCCGTGGGCTGGAGTTTGGCAGATGGGCCGCGGCTGGATCCCGTCCTGTCCCAAAATCTCAGCGTGGAGTATTTTCACACGCTGAGCCCCGGGTGATTCTGGAGGAGGCCTTCCTTGGGTCTGGGGGCTGCCCAGAGGGCAGGACTCGCCGTAGGCGCTGGCCAGAAGGGTCCCCTGGGAGGGCACGAAGGCAGCAGCTTTCCTGGGGGGGGGGGTTGGTACGTAGCAGAAGAGGCGAGTCGCAAGGAAAGGCTGTGGACGGACCAGGTGACCTCCTCCAATGGAAGCATCTGCACCAGCTCAGCACTCTCTGCCATTTGAGCTCCCATCTCGTGTGTTTTGGCTTCGCAACGGCTGCAGCGGTATTTTATCCCCACTTCCAAGCGGTCAAGGGTCCGTCCTCTGACCTTGTCCAAAAGAATTGCAGAATAAAGCATGGTTGCCGGCGCCTCCTGTCAGTCGGTTTCCTTGCAAAGCATGAGAGGGAGCCTGGTGGCCCTTCTTCAGACCAACAAATTTTAGTGCAGGGCCGAAGTTTTGGAAATCCGTAGCTCACGTACACAGTCTGTGGCTAGGTGGGCGGAGGATTTAAATTCGGATTGCAGGGAGGAGAAGTCGGGGTGATTTTGCAGATTGCACGGGAGACATTATGGACGAAACCTTGTGATGTGCTAAAAGCCATTTGTGTTTGTTGCAGTCCTGAAACCTTTCGACGTATGTAAGTTCAGCCTCCCCACCCTCAGTGGCGGTGCCGCCTTTCCAGTCACGGAAGCTCGTGGGAGGCTGAAACGTTCTGACCTTCATTTGCCTTGGTTTAGAGCGAAGAGTCCAACCGAGGCAACACGGAGACCTGGGGGCTTCTTCCGCTTCCAGACTTCCCCAGCCAGCCTTGGGAGTTGAAGGCCGAGGCCTTAAAGGGCGCCCTTGCTCTGGAGTCCTGCTCTCCCCATGCGTATCCATCCTTCGGGTGGGCCCCCGCTCCCCCTCCCCTCAACAGACCAGCACTGGCCCTCCTCTCGCATTGTCTGCAAGGAGAGGCATCCGCGTCTTTGGGTGGCCCAGGTTCCACTGTCTGGGGGGGGGCGACCTTGAGGGGGGAGGGGAGGAGGTGCTGCCTGGGGGGAAGATGAGATAAAAGGCAGAGGAGTCCACAGCTGCTGAAGAGGCCAAGGAAGAAACTTAAAAAGGGTCCCCTCTAATGTCTCAGACGCCAACAGCAGGAGATCCGCATTTGGAGACCTGCACGATCCTGTTAATGTAGCCTCAGAGTCAAGGAGAATTAGCTCATCTGGTCCTGTTTCCTGTCTGGCTTACCTGGGAGGGCTGACAGGAAAAGAGGAAGGAGCGCTTTCTTTCTTTCTTTCTTTCTTTCTTTCTTTCTTTCTTTCTTTCTTCTTCTCCCCCCCTCCTCCCCTCCCCCCCCCCCCCGTCTCTCAGGATGATGGATTCTTCCAGCAGAGGAAAGAATCCCTGGGCAGCAGCCTTGGCCGGCAGCTGCCCAGGGCTCTTCGGCAGCAGGGAGAGCGCGGCAGGCCGGTCTGGTCCTATAGGTTCTCCCGAGACAAGCCTGTGGCAGCGGCTCCTTGGTGCGAAAGCCCCCCACCCCGCCCCGGTCAGGGTTGTTTTTTTTTTTTGTGACCGCAGGTAGTCCTTGACTTACCTGTTCATTTAGTGGCTGTTCAAAGTTACCACAGCACTGAATAAAGGGATGGTTGCCGCAGCCCCCATGGCCATGTGATCAAGATTCAGATGCTTGTCAACTGACTCCTTTTTATGACGGCTGCACCGTCCCAGGGTCATGCTTGTGCAGGGGGTTGGAGTAGAAGACCTCCAGGGTCCCTTCCAGCTCTGTTGTTCTGTTATGGGATCCCCTTTTGAGACCTTCTGGCGAGCAAACTCTCCAGGGAATTCAGGTTCACTTAACAGCCATGTCACTAACTTAACTGCAGCGATTCACCTAACAACCAGAAAGGTTGTAAAATGGGACAAAATTCACTTAACAAGCAACAGAAACATTGGGCTCAATTGTGATTGTAAGTTGAGGGCTACCTGGACTTGTCTCTGGAGCTAAGAGGCGCCGTGAAGGTACGGAGGGTGGCTAGACGTTTCTTTCTTCAAGTTCCGTTCCACAATATCATAGATGTCAGATAGTTTGGCTGTTGCTTTTACTCAGGCAAATGCTTCTGGCTTCCTGAGCTTGTATCCTGGGTCTGGTCCCTTCTGCATGCACCTAATTGGGTCGCCCTGAGGAGTCACAGACATTTAATCCTTGGTGGAAGGGAGACGTAAGCGGCCCAAGAGGTCAGGCCGAACAAGAGGCTGTTCCTTCTGTCAACAAGGCATCGTCACCGTCTTGGCTGAAGAGCAGAGGTGCCATAACCGAAGGCGAATCTACGTGTCCCAGGATAATGTGGCAGGCTCCAGTCTGGGTCACTCACTGGGACCAGACCTTTCGCCTTCCGAGCTTTCGGGCTTGCGCTGGAGCCCATCCTCAGGGAACTTCTATACAACCTCAAGGAGCTGGCTGAACCCAAAGGGTGGGGAAAGTTTTGTTCCAGAACTTGATTCCCACAGGAGCCAATCGCTTCCTCCTCGCTCCTTGGAATCCCCCCCTCTGTTCTGGGATATGAATGTTTATATTTACGTGCCTTGGAGTGAAAGGGATCACAAGAGAGCAAGTGGGGGGGGTGATGCGGAGTAGGCATTGAAAGGAGCCCCTTAGTGCCAGCTGTTTGCTTTTGCCTTAAGTGCTCAGGCTTTTTGGAAGCCCCCCCAAAAGGGGGAGAGGGGGCTTTAGGGTGAAATGGATTAGGGGGCTTGCCAATTTCAGGGGGTTAATTAACTTCTTTGGGGAGGGGAGCACTTAGGAAACCCCTAGCTGGTTTAACTAATGGCTCTGCTCTGTGAGGGGGAAATGACTCCACTCGGGAGGGAGAAGGAAAACGGGTCGGGTGGTGGGACACGGGCCATTATGCGCTTGCAACTGCCTGCATCTGAGGGGATCCCCCAAAGCCCCCTTGAAATCTTGGCAAAAGTGGAGAATGGGCTCCCTTACGCGTGGCTGTCGGTGGATCCCTGTCGCCAGGGTACAGATCAGGTAGGGGGGAAAAAAGGAGTCGTCTTTCAACTCCCTCCAGCAAAGTTTATATAACTTCTTAGTTTTTGCTTCACGGAGTGTGGCTGTCCTGGCACTAAAACAGAGACCTGCGTAATTTCTGGGCCTCCCCAAATCCCACCTTGGTGCTTCTTCCACTTGCTCTGGGGGTTGAGGGCAGGCCGACTTTTCCTGTAATGGCAGTTGGGCCTGGAGGTCTTGGCGTTAGTGGCTTGTGCTTTTCCACTGTCCGGCCCTCCCCTGGCCGAGGGCAGCTGCAGGTGGAGCGGGCAGGTGGGGCAGGTGTGCTGTGGAGGGAATCCTTCCTCCCTCGCGCTGCTTCTGGCTCCTCCACAGAGCCCGTGAAGGTCTCCAGGCACGCCCGCTGCAGCCCTCGCTGCCTCCGCACGCTAACCCTCCCTGTGGTCCTGTTTTGCAGGCTGGAGAAGCAGCAGAGCCGGGTACAGCGGCAGATCAACGAGAGCCTCCCTTGCCGAACGAGTACGAGGAAGACAGCTCTGACGAGGAGGTAAGATCGCCTCGGCTCCTTCGTGTGGTCAAGCAGCCCCTGGGCTTCTCTGGCCGGGGGGTCCGGAGGGCGTCCAGGCCAGTCCGCCAGCAAAGGCGGCTGGTTGCCTCACCCTTCGCTGGACTCAGGTGCTTTCTAGGGAGGGTGGCCGGAGGCAATGGATGCCCTGGACCCCTTCCGGGCTGCGGTCCAGCAGGGAGGCTGGCGGGTGACTTTTGTGGCGTCCTTCCTCCCCTTTGTCCCTGGTCTCCCCGTTGGGGCTTTCAGGCTGCCCACTGGGGCCGCCTGGGGGAGTGGCGGTGTGTGTGTGCGTGTGCTGGGAGTGAGGGCTGCCCTTGTTACCATGACCAGGGTGAGACCTGGACAGGAGGTCCCTGAGTTCTGTAGTTCATTTAGCGACGGCTCAAAGTTACAGCAGCTCTGAGAAAAGTGACCAATGACCGTTTTGCACGTTGACAGCCGTTGCAGCCTCCCTCTGGCCATGGGACCCATCAAAATTCTGATGCTTGGCAACCGATTCATATTTATGACCGTTGCAGTGTCCTTCTGACAAGCAAAGTCAGTGGGGAAGCTGGGTTCACTTAACCACCGTGTGACTAAGTTAATGGCTGCAGTGATTCCCTTAACGACGGTGGCAGGGACCCTCTTGGACTGGCCGTGAGGTCAGGAGGAGAATCTTAGGAAGACGGTGGCCGAGGAGAGTTACACAGACTGGCTTGATGGCGCCAATCTCGCCCTTTTGACCCAGCAGAAACCAAGATGTGGAAGCGATTAGTCTGGAATAGAGGTTGAGAGCGTCATGGAATATATATGGGCCTACCAAATGTGCGCGCGGGTAAATGTCTTGAGCATAGCCCAAGTTTGCAGCACTTTCATGTTGGAGTCCAAGGTCTCTCCTTCCCAGCCGGTCTCTTTCGGGGCCCCAGCGGTGGGGGGGAAGGAGACGGTTCAAAAGCGGTTGACGTCCGAGGGGCTTCCGGGGGCTTTGTTCCCGCTCGCTGGCCCACCCGCTTTCCTCGAATTGCGTCTTTCTGCCTCCCAGCCGAGCCCGACGCGGCTTCCGCTCCCTTTTCCCCAGGATGTAGTCCCAGTAGCACGGTGTCCGAGGTCGCTGCCACGCTCATATAAAACCGCTTGTAAAGCTGCAGCCCTGGCGGGGCGTGCATCCCAAGGGGGTGAACGGCGGTCTCGGAGGGGCTGCCAGCCGCATTCCGGATTGGCTGTCAGGTTGCCAGAGACCCTCCCTCCGGGGATGCGCTGTCATCGGCAGGAGGGACGGGGCAGAGCCCGTCAGTTGATTGAGCGGCCCAGAGCACTTTGCAATTTGGTGAGAAACGGTTTGGTGAAGCAAGGCCTTGCAACCAAAGGGGGGGAAATGGAGGGGGGGGGGGCCCAGGGGGGAGGGGGGGGGTGGGGGGGAGGGGGGTTAAAGGGGGGCGGGGGGGGGGTGTGTCCTGCGGTGGCTGAGAGACAGGAGCAACCAGGAAGAAAAGGAGTTGAGCCTTTGGCCACCGTGTGCTTTGCAGGGCGGGCCTGGAGCGCAAGTGTGCCGAGAAGTCGCCACCTTTGCCGTTTCCCAGCATTCCTTCTACTTTGCCCCCTCTGCCCCCTGGGGGATTCTGCTCCACACACACACACACACACACACACACACACACACACCCATCCCCAGTGTCCGTGCCTGCTGTGCCCGGGCAGCTGCCTCCACCAGTTCCCTCCCTCCCTCCCTCCCTCTCTGAATTGGAGGGGGGGGGCAGCGACTCCTTCCGCTGCGCTCTGTGAGGCAGGACAAGGCCCCTAGTGCCAGGCAGCCGCCCCTTATGGGCTTTCGGGCTGTATGGCACATAGTTATGGGGTGGAAGGAAATGTAGACACGTGCTTAGGAGCCTCAGGGTTCGAAGAGGCCGCGGTCTGTGGACACCCCAGTGTGGAGAGGATGGGGCTCCGGTGTGGTCGTCGCAGGGTCTCTCTGGGGCGAGGCAGCCCCGCTTCCTCCTTCCTGGGACCCTTGCTCAGTTCCTCCCCCTTCTGCCTGCCCCCTTCCCCTCCCCTCCCACCTGGGGGGCTGTGGAAGCGCTTGGGAACACTCAGCAGTGCAGACTAAACTTCCTGGCCCTGAGCTCGGCTCCGTTGGCAGCCCTGGCGCTCGGCCTGGCACCTGCCCAAGTGGGCTCCTCCTGCGGCTCCTCCTGTGGCTGCGTGTTCTGGGAGGAGACCCAGCAAGAGGAATGGGCTTCCTGGCGGGGCTCGGCCGGGCTCTTTATAGCCTCCTTGGGCCCCTGTGGGCCCGGCTGGGGAAAGCTGGGCAGGTACAGTCAGGTGGAGCAGGAGCGGGAGGGGCTTTTCTTTCCCTGCCCCAAATGGCCTCCCCCTTCCCCACCCCCACCCCCCCCCCCCCCTCAGCGGCTGGAGATGAATGGCCAGGAGCCGGAGAGGCTGTCAAGGCCACGCGGGGAGGAAGCAGTTTGGGGCCCTTGCTGGCTTCGGCTTCCTCCCAGAATGACTATTCCATATGTCAGCGGATAAGCAGCCCCCCTCTCCCCTCCCCCCCTCCCATTGAGGGCTCCTCTGTGAGCCACCGGGGGCTGTTCCAAGCCCCCTCCCTGCCCTTGCCTGGGATGCAGCTGACGGGGGGGGGGGAAGGGGGGGGGGCCCCCCTCCCGTGGCGGAGGGGGGGGGGGGGGAGGGGGCGGGGGGGCGCCCTGCGGGGGTCTCCGAAGGCATCAGCCGGCCAGATCTTTTCAGTTGTATTGGGGTTTCCCCCCCCCAAGAGATTCTAGGGTAGGGTGCAGAATTGTTTTCGATTACAAATAAATGACAACTGAAACCTTTAGAAGTGTTTTAACTGGCCAGCCGAAGGAATAACCTGGACTCCAGCTGGTGCTCTGGGGGTTCCCTTTCCTTTTTCTCTGGGCACCCCCAGGCCAGCGCACCTTGAGGGCTTGGTGGGTCTTGAGCGGCTGGCCCGTCGGAGGCCCCACACGCCCCGGTCGGAGTCACTGGGGCTCCTCTAAGGGCCCAGGCAGACCCAGGGCACCTGCCAAGAGTCCCAGTCAGGGGGAAGCTGGTGGTGGGGTGCCCCCTGCAGGCCAGGAGTTGATGCGACGCCTAGAATCCGTTTGACCTGGACCCAGAGGCGCCTGGGCCGGTTCTCCTGGAGGGTTCAGAGAAGCCCCCCCCCCCCCCCCCCCCGGAGCTGCTTCCGGTTCTTTCATCCACGGTTGGGCTGGAGTAGTTGTGGGGGGGGGGGATGCCTTTTTTAAAATGCAAATGTTGTTTTTGCTCTTCCTCCGGCCTCCATTTTCCTGAACCCTGGCAGGAAAGGGCTGCTTTCTCCCCCGCTGCCTCCTGAGGTCCAGCTGGATGACCTCGGGGGGGGGGGAGAGGGAGGGGCTGGAGATTTGAGGCCACCCTGTCCGGCTGGTCTTGTGAGTGGGAAACCCACGAGGGCCAAACAGCCACACCACCGTTTTTAAAGAGGGACCCCCAAAAGCCAGCCCCAGCCCGATCCCCGTTTTAGGCCAAGGAGAAACACAACTGGTCTGCTGGAGGAGGAACAGCAGCAGCGGGAGGAGTTTCCCAAAGGCGAATCCTGCCTCCCCTGCCGGCCAGACCGGCAGGATTTCCAGGCCCTTCCCCGGGGTTCTCCTTCCTTGGAGCATTGGTTGCCTGGTTACAAAAAGCAGAAGGCATAGGAGGTTTCCTCCAGGGTAGCCTTTTGGCCTAATAAAGCAGGTCTCCGGGAGCCCCTGTTTGGCCCTCCAGTGGCGGGAAGGGCTGCAGTTGAGAGTTTGAGCTGCTCTTCTGGCTAACGGCGAAGAAATGGCTCTGAAACCTTGGAGGCGCTCTTCGTCAGATTTGTACGCCGCCTTCCTTCCTTCCTTCCTTCCTTCCTTCCTTCCTTCCTTCCTTCCTTCCTTCCTTCCTTCCTTCCTTCCTTCCTTCCTTCCAATTCCCTTCATTCCTTCCCCTTCCCCTTCCTTCCTTCCTTCCTTCCTTCCTTCCTTCCAATTCCCTTCATTCCTTCCCCTTCCTTCCTTCCTTCCTTCCTTCCTTCCTTCCTTCCTTCCTTCCTTCCTTCCAGGAGCCCAAGGCAGTTGCTTCTTCCTTCAGCCATTTTTCCCAGCAGCAACCCTGAGGGCTCAGGGGCCTGTGGACATCCGGAGTGGCCTGGCTGAGCCGCCAGGAGCCCTTTTTACGGGAAACGTGGCCTGTGGCCCCTGCTGGAGGAGGGAGAGCCTGCCGGTAGGTGGGCTCCCCCCCCCCCCCGGAAGTCACGTAGTCCAGGCGGAGGGCGGTTTGGGCCCCTCCCGGCAGAGAGCTGCCCTTTCCGTTTGAAGGGGGTGTGGTGGGGCCCCGGGCAGGGTAAGAGATGCCCCCCCAGACAAAGGAGAGGAATCACTTGGCCTGCTGCCCCCCCAGCCCCCCCCCAGCCCAGGACGGACTCTTGAAATCCTCGCATAGAAGCACATTGATGTGGAAGGAAGGAGGAGGAGGAGGAGGGGGGGTGGGGGGGCTGGCAGGGAGAATTTCTTTATCCTGGAAAAAATGACATCAGTGAATAGCTCGAAACGATCATCTTTCTCTGACCCAGAAAGGGAGAGAAACCCACAGCAGCTTTGAGATGAAGAGTGGAAAATTTTTTCCCATTTATTTTCCCCCTCTGTGTGTTGGATCTGTCTCAGCTTACAGGCTGCCCTTTTGGAAAGACCGGCTGCCTCCGTTTCAGAGGGTCTGCAGGGACCCCGGCCTCACTGCTGCCAAAACCAGAGGTTTTTTTGTGGGGGGGGGGGGAGGGGGGGGAGGGAGGAAGGAAGGAAGGAAGGAAATGGATGTAATCTAGCCAGCTCTGCGTCTGGCATGCTCGGCATCTCTGTCTGGCAGGGGTGCGCCCAGCCTTTCCCTGCCCTCTGGGCCTTGCCCCGTTTGAAATCGGTGGCCCTGTACGGGTCCTGGGTCTGTCTGGCATAAGCCTCAGTGCCAAGGCTTCTTCGTTTCTGTTAACTCTGCCACCGCTGAGTAAGCCCCGGCGGCACGTGGCAGCTCACCCGGAGACATCGGATGTTAAGGACGGGAGTGAGGTCACCGTCTGGCTAAGAGCAGAATCATTTTCCTTCCTGGTGTCCCCAGCAGCTTAGCAGAAATTGACAGGGCCTCCCTCCAATATCTCTGTTCCACGGAAGTCAGCGGGGAGGTTTCCCTGTCTCAGCTAGCCAGACACCCAAGGGGCACGTTAGGCCGAGCTGCTGCCGCACTGAAAAGAAGTTGTGAGGGTTTGTGGTTCTAAAAACTCTTCCGGGGAGGCTGGTTCAACCACCACCCAGATTTAAACCAGCCAGGGGTCTAGGAGCTGCCGTTCAAGTCGTGTCAGTAGCTGGTTTTTCTTCTGTTTTTCTTCCATTCTGGCCTTTAAGTCTCTTGCAAATCGGTGAATACTTTTGATTTAATGGTGGAAAGTTATTTTTCAAAAATAAGCCAGAAGATCAAGCTGTATGTGCTGATTTGCTATTTTCCGGAAAGTTGCCATTTCTGTACCTGATAAGGCCCAGTTGGTTCACTAAGAATTGGATTAGGTCTGGCTCAAATATCAGGCAAATTTCTCCTTCCTCACTTGGCAAAATATCAAAACCCTGCAAGCGTTTTTGTAGACTTTGTGGGAGTTAATAAAGACGTTGCCTCAATATAGATTTTAGACTTCTTTTCATGAACAATGCGGCGCATTTAGCCTGTTATGTGACTTGGGAGCACTTTTATGAGACGAATCTCTCTCCTCCTCTCTGTTACCAATTCCTTTGTATCTGATGGAATTAAAGAGGGTTAGTGAAACCCCAAAGAATTTTACCCTGAAAATCCAGAAACATCCTGTGTTGTTGTTTTTTTTCTTACCCTATTATGTTTTTATAAGTAACTCTGTGGACCCGGTGGAGAAGTATCTGTAAAACAGGGGTTTCCAGCCTTGGCAACTTTAAGACTTGTGGACTTCAGCGGCCCATAGAGTCCCCGGCCATTCGGTCCTTTATTGATCTATGACGGGGGTCGGTGGGTGGGGTTACGCTTTGAGTGGCATCCCGCCCACTCTGAGAGTGAGACGGGCAGTTTCTAAATTAGACAGACAGGCGGACGTGTCCGATTTTGCTTCCTTATTTGCCGAGGCTCAGGCTTCCTGGTGAGGGCGCTTGGTGTGGAAGGCTTCTTGGTCTAGGGCAGGGGTCCCCAAACCTCAGGCTGCAGCCTACAACTGGGCGGGTGAGCTGTTCAGAACCAGGTCGCGGATGTGGCAGGCCAGTGCTCGCGTACGCACACACATCCCCACTTGTGCGAGCACCGAATGAACCATCCTCTCTCTCTCCCTCCACCCTCCCCCAGTTTGTAAAGCCCAAAAGGTTGGGAAACCTGGTCTAGGTCACTAGTCCCCAGGACAGGCTCACTTGGGGGCAGAGATCAGTTTGGAAAGGAAAGCGGAATGTGCTGATGGAGGGAAGGGGCCCTTTCTGGTGTGAGACTGCAAAGTGACCATCAACCTGGTCCGTGTGGCCTGAGCATCCTGGGCAACATTTGTACATTGGAAAGGGAGAAATCTTTAAAAAATGATATTTTATTGGGGGGGGGGGGGGAGGCTGAGCGGAAGAGGGTTTTTCTAAGGCAACCTAACACTCGGTCATGGTCTCCGCAGAGCCCGGGGAGGAAGGGGAACCCGCGGCTGGGGGAGAATTGTTTTCATGCCAATTGAAATACATGTGAAATGTCTGGTAGGAGCTTTGCTGGAAATCCTCAAGTTTTATGAAAACATTACAAGGAGAGGAAAATGCAGGTGGCGCAGAGACCAGAACCGAGGGCAGAAAGCGGTGGGGATAAAAGAGGGGCGAGTAAGCGCTCCCTTTCTGCCTTGGTAGGAGAGCAGCTCCCCCTCGGGGGTCCGTGGAAGGGCCTCGGGCCCCGGGTGAGCATGGCTGGCCCTTGGCACGGAGCAGCTGTGCCACTGAATCCTGAGGATTTTATCCACCGCTGGGAAGGTGAAAACCCAGCCCCGCCATTCTTGAACAAAGGGTTCCTTGCCATATGCAGCACTTGGCCGTGGGTCTTCTTGGGTGTGCGGGAGCGCCACAAAAGGTGGACGTGGCCTGGAGCCCCTCCTCTGCCAGCCAGTGAGGCCCCGTGATGCTTCCAAGCATCGCTCCCTTCGGCCGCTGGCTTCGGTGATTTGATCCCTTCAAGTTGCATCCAATTCTTGGGGGTTTTACGGGCCAGGTGGTCTCTCCGCCTCTCCCGATCTTGCGCTGCTTCTTCGAGTTGTTCTGTGCTCTGGCTGGTGTCAGCTTTGATGGCGTCCGGCCGCTGTCTCCTTGGGCGGCCTGGTTCCCTTTTACCCCTGACTCTTCCCAGCACAGCCGCTCTCTCCCGTGAACTCCTCCCCAGGGCTCCTCCAAAGTAAGTGAGACCCAGTTTCGGGGTTTTGCCTTCTTGTGACATGTCCAATGTGTTACGCGCTCTGTCTAGCGCTTGCTTTGCCATCCAAGGAATCTGCAGGAGGCGTTTCTAGCACCTTTGGTGGGACCAGCTGCCAGCCTGACGAATGCGGAAGGTCTACCCATCACACACACACACACACACACGGTGTCCTTCTGAGCAACCTTTCTGACTTCAGGCCACGTTGCTCCGCCAGTAAACGCCCCTGCTCTGCCAGGGGGGGGTTCCCTGCTTTCTCCCTTCCCTTTTGCCTTGAGGCTTTGCCCTGACCTCCCTCCTCTCCAGCTTCCTGAAGCAAGGAAATTCTTCTGTCGTGATTAGAATCAGCTTTCCTTACTCGAAACCACCTTCTCTCCTGTAATCGCTCGGTTTTATATTTATCCTTTGTAAATGTATTTTCGAGGCTGGCATTAGGGACTTCCTGTTACTTCTTAACTTCCAGAGCATGCGAGCAGAACGGGGCAGTCGGTTTAGGCACGGCTCTGTGGGATGCACATTCCCAGGAAGAGGCACTTCCAGTTTTGAAAACTGCTGGGGGTGAGCACCG